CTTAAGAAAGGCTAATCTACAATTGGGTATGTTTGTTCCCAATGTTTGTCAGCAAGTAGTTCCTTTTCATTGCAAGAAAAGAGGATTGAAAAATCAATCAAACATCAAGAACAGAGAGCAACCGAGATGTGATTATACTCCAATCGAAACAATAAAGGAATCTTGTCAATTTATTTAACTTTCTGAGCCTGGGGCACTGCTGGAGTAGCACTTAAACATGCTTCCAGTATAATACATCTAAGAAAAAAAAACAGGGAAAAAGAAACCAAACTGGCACTGAAAATGTAAGCCTTGTCAACCATGCTAACATGTGCTCATTTAGTGCACTTGTACCATAAACAGTGTTCATTTCTCTGTTTATGTTGCCCATTTTTTATTGTGCAAACTTAGTGTATCTTTTTTTCTGTGTCTTACTGAAACACAATATTCCTTTTCACCAAGCCATCACACCAAACCTGTAACTTTATCACACCCCAACAATTCTCTTTGCTGACATATCACACTTTATCTCCTGATGGCAAAATAATGCTATTCAGATCATCAAAATTTTTTAGAAGCCAGTTCTCCTATAAATTCTTCATCATGTCAGTTTGATCACATCTCTTCCATAAGTTTTCACGAAAGAAAACTGAAAACCTGAATATTGATCTGCATTTACAAGTCATGCAATGTTGTGATTTAAATGAAATCAAAGTAGCTGGCGGATGATTCAACTCCTCGCCATGAAAACAGCTGACATGCTCCATAGGAAACCTATCATGTCACCTTTCAATTCCTAACTTTCCACTAATGTGGATGGCTTTTCAAAGAGTCCCGATGCTATGCAGCAAAGCCAATTCAACCGTGCCTTTATTCTACCTGCATCACGCATGAATAGTAACCATATTTAACATGCTCCTGAGCAGTTGGGAATCCTGAGGCAATTCCCTAAGTAAACCTCTTCAAGGACTGCCCTTCCCCCTTCTTATTCTAAAGATATGCAAGGGAGAAAAAAGCACTTGAGCAACTCCTAAACTGACTAATTTCCTGAAGATTTATTGTACCAACCCCACCTAATCTCCTTCCATTTATACACAGATATTTGATGGGCCTGATACAACAACCAGTAAATTAGGCATCTCAGCACACAGCGCTGACAAGTGCAAGTAATGACCTCCCCCCTCCCCCAATTCCCAGCGGCCCCACCCCCATTTCCCAGCGGGACAACATGGCCGCCATGACTTAGGCGCCAGTGAGCATGTACAACAAAACGGAACTGTCAGTGAGTTGATGGAATTTGCCTTTTCCTATTTTTCCCCACAGAATATTCCTCCAGGCTCAGTAAACCCGGTGACTTGTCTTCAACAAATCTGCTTCTTGACATCAGTCAAAAACAGAAGAGTTTTTTTCTTCTGTGTCTCTTTTATTTTTGCCTCATTGATCCCAGACACAAAATGAATCAGAGACGTGAATGCTGACTGGTGGACTTCAATATATCACCATTAAGGTGAGGAGTGCGAGGACGTTCCCTCGTCCTGGTGTTTCAGTTCAGTCCTGACGTACATCATGTACAGGGGAACAAGGACAGTACTATCCTAAACATATCTCCACACAGATAAACTGACCCTGTAAAAACTGCTCACAGGTCATATAGGACAACAAAAAAATTATACCTATCTTATATATCTCTCAAATTTACAGCAAAAAAGGCCTGGGAACCACAAACATCTCTTCCATGGGAACTGTGATTCCAATGTCTCATCTTCCTGCTACTTTTTCTGATTTATACTGCCCCACTGCCTTCACAACTATATTTAGTCTACATCAGGACCAAAGGCTTATATAAGAAAAAGATAAATGAAGATGTTTGTGGAGCTTTATGAACATTAGAACGTCCTGTGATACCTTAATTTTTCTATAAACACAAAATATGAGACAGAAATATGAAATGAAGACAACTCCATCAAGACCCTTACAATAAGAAATGATCTCAAGATTTTGAAAGCTAGTACATTGTAAGATGAATAAATTTCCTGTATAATTTTCAACTTTCTTTTCCGTTTAAAAAATTATTTCATGGCCATTCCATGGCATTTTTTTCTCTAGTGTAACATCTTTTATTTATTTTTTTTCCTCAATAAAACACTGACATCTGAATTACACCCAGTTTACTCCCAGAGAGATAGTTAACACAAGGAGCAGCTTCTTTAATTCCAACTCTTTTATTTGGTGCATAGGAACAGATGTCAAAGTTGTGAAGACTGAGAGAATGCTATGCTTAAAACACTGATGTCAGTTGGTCTTCATATTCACCTTTATATAACTAATCACAAAACAGTGAAATGACTCAGATCTGATCCAGAACATGATACCTGGACATAAATGAAATTTGGGGACACAATTATTTGAAAGAGAACTGTTCCAGACTTCACTTCAAAATGCTTTAAAATTATCCAAAGTAATTCATCAAATCTTTGCTTGATTTTTCACCACAACATAGGCTTTTGTGCATAAATCTGTATTAAGTAGATTTATTTAAGTTTCTGTGGCACCCATTACAAAAGTCCAAAAAAGAGAAATACAGGATTATGTTGTAAAATCCTTATTTTTCCAATGTTTACATTTCAACTAAATTGTATAAACATAAGTGCCTTTTCAGATTTTTTTTAATTAAAAGAGAATGTTTCAATTTGCACTAATTTCTTAATCCTCTAAGATTCCTTGCAAAATTGTTGCCTTTATCTGCTAAATTTATGGCTTCAAATTGTGTTGTTTAACTTCCATATGCTGAGGAAAAGGAGCAAATTTTACACACTGCTGATAGGCTATCAGAAAACTAGCAGACTATACCAATAAAATGAAACTTTGGATTGGTTCAAAGATAGAAACCAAAATGGTCCAAATCAGAAGGCAGAAGTTTCCGCCAATGGTACCAGCACAGTACTGTCACAGTGATTAAAAAAAAAAAACCCTGGTGCATGTTGTGGCATGCCTCTACCCTTCCCTAGTGGACTCTCACCACTTACAAACCTGACAAAAGCCTTATATTTACAGAATGTCCATCATATAATGCTTCCCTCCTTAACTTATAATTTAAGCAAAAGAATTAGCCCAAGATCAGTAAAATTGACCAACGGTTCATTGTTAAGTTACCCAACTCCATTTTGAGTAAATTTCCAATGAATAACAATCAATTCTATAGTTGTAAACTAGGCAAAATATGGCTTTACAGTTTATTATAGTAGGCCTTAAGTGTAAGCTGTTATGGCAAGTTCAGTCACAGCTTTCAGAGCCAAGACCTTTAAGTTTATCAAAGCATGTGCCGTTTGTCCAAAATTCAGTATGCTATTGTACCCTCTATCGAACATCAATCATGGCATAATAGCTGGAATGGATTCAGTGATACAAAAGCTTTAGCTTTCAATAGGTAGAACCAGGGAAAAGAACTGGCGTGAAAACTGCCCGCCTGAATAGTTATAAGGTAGCGTGGCTTGTTTTCAAGCTTAAAAACACTCTTCTATGGTGGGAGTTGCTGAGGCATAAAAAACCTCCACAATGTGCCGCCCGCCCGTGTGGACTGTTCTCATCTTCAGGTCAAACCATAACCCTGTCCCGTAGGGAACACACCCAGCCAAACGAAAGACATCTTGAACTTTTAAAAACATTTTCAATCTATGTGTAAGTGAACAACTGTAGTAAAGGGGAACTTTGGGAAAAACAGAGACTTGGACTCGCTACAACCCAAAAAAAATCAATAATTATGATATATGCTTTTAAAAATAAAAGACAGATCCAATTCATGATAGCAACGGGTCTCAAGCATTTAAAATGAACTGCACTGTGCCCAGTGAAGTGTTCAGAATACATCTATATTAGATCTCTAAAAGTCATCATTTTGAAACAAACCCCATTTAAAAGACCAAGCTCACTAAATTTACACCTAAGCCCTTTTTCTGTCCTTTAAAGATATTTATGGAAGCACTCTTGGAAAGTTATTTCTGCGTTTTCCAACCTCTGAAACCACATAAAGGTCTCTGGTTTCCTGTTTTTGTGACCTAGGCCAGCGTAGACCACGTCACAGACCTATTGAATATTTCACATCAATTGCCTCTGTTGACTCAGGAGTTGATACTGAGTGAAATAATATCATCAGTTCCTAACGACCCATGCACATTAAGGTTGCTATTGGACATCTTGGTTTGATGGAAAATAAATGCCTTTGCTCACAGTCTTGCTGGATTCCAAGATTTCAGAGCAATCAGCCATCTCCTGTACAAGATTCACTAAGCATATATATAAAAATATACAATGAAGACCTCGCTTCTTTTCCTATAATTAATATTTCATCATCAAGATAAAAAAAAAACAACCTCAAAAGCTGATAGAATGGAAACTTAGAGAATGCCTTATTTTACTTCATGAGAGTATTTTTATTGTGATGACGTACTGTAATATTGTCAGATTCCTGTCAAGTGTGAGACAAGCTCATTGTACCCTAGAAATATAACCAGATAGATATGGTATGCATGCCACAAAGAGAAAAAAATAAAATAAACTTGCACTAAGTATGTTCAAACACATTCCATGACATTACTTTAAATGGAGTTGCCTAGTTCAGTTGTTTGAGTTTAGTGAAGGTATGAAATACTGCTGAATTTAGAATGAAAATGTCAAGATTAAAAATACTACTTGGCAATTTTGTTATAAATATATGACTTCACATTATTAGAATCCACCCAAAATATAACATTTACATTTTTTTTGTTTATCTTAGGTAACAATCATTTATCAACTTTAATAATTTTCCAGTTATTTTCTGGATTTTTTCTTTTCATTTTAGGTAACCATTTTATTTTAATTTGTATGGTGTATGGCCACTTATTTCACAAATAGTCTTTAAAAAAAAAAAAAAAAAAAATAGGGCAGAAAAGACAAACAAGTCATTACCAAGACAAAATGGCTGAAGAGGGACAAGAGCACCACACACACACACACACACACACACACACACACTGTCTCACCTTGTTTAATTGGCCTTGAGTACCCCGTGGCCCCACTACCGTAGCCCCCACTGCCAGAGTGTGAGGAGTGGGGGAGGGGTCTGGGCTGGGCAGGGACAGCAAACACAGGCTTCTGTTGTCCCCCGCTATGCCCTAAATCAGCCTGAGAGGACGGAGAAGCTGTTTGGGATTTGCTGACCACGGGGGTACCGGCAATGGCGGGCAGCTTGGTGTCATGGCTGCCATTGGCTTGCTGCGGGACGGGAGTAGCACGCGTAGAAGAGGGTAGAGGAGTTCCAGCCTGGATACGCAAAGTAGGGATATCCATCTGGCCACCTACCATCCCCTTCGAGGTCGGGGTCGGCTGGTTACGACTGCTGCGACCATTCATGGTCCTGTAACAAAAAACAAAACGAAAAATTGATTTATCTGAATGCATACATGTAAAACTGGAATCAATAGCTCAGCTTTTTAAAATCAATTTTGGCATTATATCCAGTAAAAATGCTGCAATCAGAGTGAAAAAGTCTAATACAATGAATTCTAAAAATGCTGACACTATGATTTCTTATTTTAGTTCAATCCTGGAATAACCATTAATGTGCATAAAAGATACAAATGTCCTTCTATATATCACAAACAGTTACACATCACCTACTACTGTAAAGAAGTAACTGAAAAATAATGAAAATCAGATACAAATATCGTACGTAAACATCACATGACAGACATCTGAAAAAATGACGGTGGTCTTCATTCTGACATATCTATGATCTTCTTGGTTTTCTCAATGTTGGTAGTGTAAAATCATCCAAACTTTTATCAGGAAGCAAAAACAAATCCCAAGATTGTTAAAAAAATCTTTGCGATAGTCTATTGTTCTAAACAATACATTCGCTTTTATACAGATGAGTAATAATGCAATGGAAGTCGCTCAAGCTACATGAATTATGCAGACAAATCAGCGCAACTGGGTATTCGCCAGTGGAGGGACACGGCCTTCTGTCTGGCACAAGTGTTCTCTTCTCAGAGTTTTCAGAAACACCTGACAATGTGCCCTCCTGCCCTCCGGCCAGACCCGCCAGTTGCTCCCTGTCAGTTAGCAGACAGCTGTCACGTTTCCCCTCCTTGTAATGTGAAGTAATGGGCTAAAGAACAGACACCTGAGGAACGTGACTACTGTTCAGGAGTCTTATACTGTGATTTATTTATATAGGAAGTCTTTCAATCTGGTCATCCCACAGAGTATAAAATATAAATTAAGAAGAGTTCTTACTTGACATTATTTTACATGTTTGGTTTATCACAAATATGATTGAATATCTACTTCACAAAAACAAAGTAAATACCTATATATGTAAATATTATCTATAGAATACACTTGAGAGTCAGCGAGCAACAACAACAAAAATAATCCTCCCAACATGAACTGCTATTTCCTTACATCACCAGGGTGTAGTGCAGCAACTGAGACAAGATAATTACTAAAATTTTCCTTTATAAATACTCAGACTTATTGAGAGACAGGAAAAAAACATATATATAAACAGATTAGCCAACAAAAGGTTTCCATTGCTGCTGTGACAAGATTACAAGTGACAAGGGAGATTCCAGACACATGATTAGACCCATTGTGCAGATTCCTAAAGCTGTGACGAATCTATTGTATGCTCTGTTGTATGTGCGCCATGGTTTTGTATCCTGTCCCTGTTCCAAGCTGTCACTAATGTCACCTGGGCACCTGTCACCCTAGTCCTAGGCAAACCATGTGTCCAGAGATGTTGGCTCTGTACCTTATCTGACCGATGGCGATACACACGCGAATACATTCAGAACCAACAGTTTACATGTTTCAACCTTTAAATGTTTTTTTCTTTTTGGTAAGTAAGATATGTTAGAATGAATTTCCACAGATCCAAAAAAAAAATGAAAGTTTTACAAATTCAGATCCACTCCTCATCTTTGAACATCCTTGCCAAGATGGTAAACTGGTTAGAATATCATTAAATCCCAGATAGTTTTTTCGTGGAACTGAAACAGATCAGACGTTCCTGATGGAAAACCGATCCCCTCACTGGTCTGATTGGTAAAATACAATTACATCCTCTTGTTTAACAAGTAAGGCAACACTTCCTGCATTTGACAACTCAACAGTGGGTCAGTAAGCAAAAAAATCTACCTGAATTTCCCATAAAGAGCCATGCAAGCTCCTGCTCCAGCCCTCGGCTCACCCGCTGCCCGTCATCACAGCTCGCGGACAAAATCAAACAGCGAAAGCAAGTCCAATAAAACACCTCAACTCTCAAATAATCTATAGATCAGTTCAATGAATAGAGTTATAATGAGAAAAAGTTGACTTGAATAATTTATAAGCTAATAAAACATGCCCGCTGATAACAGTGTACCTGAGCTCCCATCGACTGAATGGCGACAAACCAAAATTGCTGAAAAATTAATAGCAATTTCGGAAATAATCTACTGTTACGTGAGCTTATCAAAATGTAACTTTGGCATGAATGAAAAACAACTTTCTTCTGAGTTAACTGAGATCCAATTTGGCTACACAATAGAACAACAAGGCCAGACTTCATTTATATTAATGACTTCATTAATTCCCACTCTGAAACAATTATATTTTTGAACAAGCTGATGAAAAGGTTCAGACGTTGTTTTTTAATATATGAAAAAAGGCAGAGTGAAAAGAAGGTTGCCATTCTCTTTTCGTCAAAACTGTCATATCTTAAAAAATATACATAAACAAAGGTAACACTATTTACTACAAGTTGTCAAGTTAAAAAAATGAGTACAAGAAGCAAAACTATGTTTTTTCTCATCTTTCTTTCTTTTCTTTTTTTTTTTTTGGGGGGGGGGGGAGGACACATATGCAAGACTTTACCAGCTGTAAAAAAATACTTTTGGTTTGGTGATGATTGATATCAATTACTTGTTTCACATTTACTTTTTTGTTTTCCCAACAAGTTCAACTGGTTATAGACAAATAATTTGTTTCCGGCTGTAAGTTAAAGTATGCCCATTTTCAACACTTCCTCAAATATTTGTGACTTAATACTGTACCTAGGTAAGCTGTTATTTATGAATTAAAATCACTGGACAAGTATTTAAATGAAAGCAAATTCTTTCACTGGAGAATAATCACACTTTTTAATGCCAATTCCACACCAATTTAACTTTGATTAACCCTGTGAACACATTTCTGGACATGGGTCACCTCACGTATCACTGACACTGGGCCCAAATGAATACGACAGGATGCCTTGGGGTTCACAACCTACTGGTACTGCACCATGCCCTACCAGAAAGATGCCTAGTTTATCTTGTATCTGATGATTGTAATGAACATCTTGTAATACAAAACAAACCAAATACCTGTATGATTGTAATGAACATCTTGTAATACAAAACAAACCAAATACCTGTATCCTGTGAATACACCTAGATCATATTATAGGAACACCCCCCCTCCTAGATGTACAAACATACCCCTGTCTAAGCACCTGTGGTCCTATGGATACATCTATCATAATATAGGCAGACTCCCCCCCCCCCCTCCTCTACCTGACATATAGGTACCCCTGTCCTAGCACCTGTTCCATTCACTGAGGCTTGGGAGGCAGGCAGGATCAGCCCCACAAGTTTCTTCATTATGCCCTCTCATAACCCGCTGATACTTTTGAATGCAAATTATCTCAGAACTTGCACAGAGCTATGTTGGGACATCGGGCAACAAAAACTGCCAAATTGCAAACACAGGTGTGAATGACAGTACAATATTTTCACAGTTTTAGAACAAGTGTTTACAGTTTCCCTTTCCTTAATGTTCTTTTTTTCTCTCTCTTAAATTTATTTTACTGGGATTTATATTTTGAAAATAGTTTCTTTCAAAATAAAAAGTCCAACAAGACTGCGAAAAGCAAGCATTCCTTTTAGGTGTTATTCTGATGAGATCTAATTTTCGTGATGAGGTGACACGAATACTGGACACAAGAGAAATTACATTTTAAAAAATATTTTTAGTTTATAATGTAAAAATAAAAAGTTCTATACATGACAAAAAAAAAAACTTCCTCCAATTCTTAGTCAAAAGTTTTTTACTATGTCAAACAGTGTCAGGATAGGCCCCATGGTGGAACATAGGTCTTTATTGAAAGGTATGAAAGATTAAAGATTTTCATTTTGTTGGTCATTTTCCACTAAATACTACCTTGTTGAGAGAAAACCAACGGCACCCTGGGGTTCTAGTAAATCAACTGTCCTTTTGACCTCACGTTTTTTCCCCAAAACTCTGGGTCCTCCAAAGGATTAAGGAGTTGATCAAGCATTTACGACTGCTAATGAAAAATCAAACCAATCCATAAATCTAAAAAGAGGGTGGTTTAATTATATGCTTTCCAATCCATATATTCACATGTTATATGGATTACAAATTGAAGAGCATGATGTTACTGGTTATTGTTGTCACCTTCTTTGTTTTTTTCGATTCGACCAGTGTGACTTCACAAGATCTACCTGTCTTTTATGTCAATTGATCTGATCTTAACTTTAAAGGTGAACAATATTCCTGCATCCAGTTTGTTTGATTCTGTATAAGGAGAAGCTCAGTTCTAACTGTTAACTTTTGACAAAGCAGACCAAGAGAAGTCGTACCCTTGTAAAATTATAATTCCATTCGCAACATGTATGTTATTGAAGAAGTACTTCTGGCTTAATAAATCATTTGTGAAAAAAAAATGTTTTTAAATGTCATCTGTTTAGTTTCAGCCTTTAAAATGTTAGTTAATTTAAGGTCAACCAAAATTCATTTAATTTCTTCTTTTTTTTTTCTTTTTAATAATTTTCAGGCCACAGTAACAGCACTGCACACTGCATCAACTGGTGATATATGAAAAACATTAATTCTCAAATAAATTCTCTGACTCAGTTTTAGGGATAAAAAGCATCTAAAATATTCAATGCAACAAAAAAGGTTAATAAAAATTCCATAGGTTTATAAGTAGCAGCTTTACTGCCAGCTGCCTAGACATCCTTCATCATAAGAAAAAAAAAGTTTTGAAAAGTTATGACTTAAACATACAGCTGTAGCACTTGGCAAATCAAAAGGAGTGAGCCCACTTGTTTCAAACCAACAATTGTTTTCATATTCCGGGTGAAGGATTTTGCAGCAGTTTTAAAATTGAGTACTAGGATGTGTACTTAAAAACTTGTTCGGCTGCAATCCTGGCTGAACTTTGTTATCAAATGACGCAGGATCACTTAGCTACCAAACTAACAGAATAAGGTCACAGAAACACCAAAATACTTCGGAAGGAAAAGTTCCTATTCTACTATCAAATACTTAAGCAAAGATAAATACACACCATTTGAGTTAAAACGTAACCAAACTCTTTATCATCTCATCTTCAGAATGTTATTCACTGCTCAAGTTTCTGGCCTATACCAGCATAACATCTACCTGGTTCATATAGGAACATAAAAAGGACAATCAAACGCAAACTTTCTTTTTTTTCTAAATTGCTTTCTCCAAAAGAAGCTAGCATTCAAATCAATCACTGGGTCATCGATGGTTCCTTCTATGACTATTTATCTGATGTCTGCACAACATCATTTGCATAGATCAAAGATTATCTCTCTACACCACACAGGTACGGGACACTTCTACACCGCGATACTGAAATATTGACACTGAGATGTCCGAGTCAATGACACACGACAAGAGGCAACTGAGAGCATTTCCAATGCGTCATAAGAATTACAACACACACAGAAAGGAGATCCAGTCTATGTCAACAAAATCAGCTTTATTCCGCACTGAAATCACATGCAATTAAGCTGTTCTGCATACCGTGTCCTAGAAGCAGAACGAAGGCCAAAGATTCAACCGTGGAGATTAACTGCAGGATTAAGGTTTTCACACAGCATAAACGGGCTTTCATTGCCTCTGTTTGTCCACTGGATGCCCCTGTTATTATCTATCCACCCTCCAATTCATATCTGTGTATGCCGGTGGCTGTGTGGCAGGCAGGCATTGTATTCTGTGTATACCAATTCTACCAAAATCAAAAACAGTGTTATCCTGCACAATAAAAATCAAATCAAATCAAATCAATCATTTTGAAAACCAATATTGATACACAAAGAGGCCTCTGTATCCAAAACAATATGAAACAAGAAGTCCCTTTATCTTCCCGGCCATTCTACTCTGAGCAAGCAATGGAGGGAGGAATGTGCCAATCAAACATGATTTGGGGTAGGGCAAAGGGGGACCAGTTTCTAATCAAGCCTGTAGCCTAAGGATTGTATCCCCCTATGCTTGGGCTCAGCTTAAGAGATAGGGCATCAGGGATCAAGTGGCAGAGTCTTTCAATAGCAACACTCATGTCTCTATCCACAGCGGTATCTTACTCCTGAAGCGGCAACAAGCCGCCACCACTACTAACCCAGACCCAAAGTGAATCAATCTCCAAAACAGGGGACCTGCAACAAATTGAGACCCATCAATAAATCAATTCTTATTCATAGACCATTAAGTGCTTCTTTCCACTATTGACATGTCCCTGTTCATAGTCCATAAAATCAAATGTGCATTCCTGCATCCACTTCCACCGGCAGAGAAAGCATGAATCTGCTTATCAGGCCCACAGATTTGTGCACACAAAACCCATTTATCTGACAGCTTTAGAACCAATCAACTAGCATCAGTAGCAGCAGGCAAATGACACCAATATCTATACATCTTAACCAAGACTGGCACAATTTTAAAAATATTTCTACAAAGAAACTGTAAGTGCCTAAAAAACATTACTCCATGGTGGGTTACCTGGAAGTTGAGTGCTCATTGTGGTCCCTTATTTTATGTGAAACAGGTGGGAGGAGGTGATTTTCCCACTCAAAACTTCCATAAAATAAACAATTTCTAATATTTCCCCCCTTTTTTTCCTAGCACAAATGTCCTCTTCTATAACAATTTGTCTTTACTTTGTGACATAAAGTAGCAACCCTAAAATTTCATTTTCAAGCACTACTCCATGACAACTTAGGATCCTACTAGTGACCACAATGCACTTCAGGTTTGGCAAATATTTGCACAAAAGGTATTTTCATGAATTTAAATGAAGATTATTTAAGCTACAAGGGGTCAGTTACTGGCACAAAATACAAGAAACATATTTTGATTGTGCTCTCAATCCTTTCCCCCTAATTCTGTATGTCACTTTTACCTTATTCTTTCAAAAATAATGCACCTAAACACATTCTTATCTCATATTTTCAATATACAATAATATATGGTGCCTTGCCATTATGAGCTTTCTTGTCTGATCTATAACTTCAATTTTTCAAAAAACATTTTTAGGTTGGAATATTTTGTTCATGCAAAAAAATGAGCCATCTTGTATGATCTCAAACTTAATTTTTTTAAACAATCTTTGAAGTTTGAACTTCTAAGTCATGTAAGAGCAATCAATAAAAAAATCAAATCTTGAAAAAATTTTCCTATATACTTTTGACTTAAAATACATGATTGGAAATTTTGTAATATCCCATGGCCATGCTTGAAGCATTTTTAATTCCATAAAAAATAAGTTAAATTTTTAATAACAAAAGGACAATTTGCAAAAATTAAATTTTACAAATGTAACAACTGATAGAAATGCTGCAATACAATTTAAACACATGGATGGCAATTTGATCCTAATAGTTAAAGTCAGAGTACTTAATAAACAAAAATAAAACCAGTG